ACCTTCTGCTGCGCCGGGGGCGCGAGCGCCACGTTGGGGGCCACGGCATTCTCGAAGCTCTTGTAGGAGTAGAAACTGGTTTAGAGGGGGAGGCAAAAGAAAATAGTCATGTCCTTGACTTTAACTGCTCCTCAATCCATGTGTTACACCAGAACTGCGAGTAACGGGACTGGCAGCAAAGTTCCACTGACAGACACCACCTGAGACTCTGCCTGTGTTTGCTTAGTGCTTTGCGCTCACTTAAACAGGGAGATGCCTTCTCCAGCTCATCATGTGCATAAATCCATAGAAGCAGCCTTCACTGCAGGCTCCTAGGGCATGTTCAGCTAACAAAACCTATTCAATGAATGCACAAAATCTCAATACTTTTGTTTCCCTTCTGTGAATTAAACCACTGCAGCTGCAAATGCTCTTTAATCCCATACGAGTGGAATGACCGGCTGAGTTGCAAAGCCACCAGCTCACAGGGCAAGGGAACAAACACACAACAAGTTGCTGTCAAATAAACCCCCCTGGCTGCCAGCCCAGGCCTTCCTTCAGGTCCTGCCTATTTACCTGTCCCGGATCAAGGTGGGAAGGTGGGTTGAGAGCTCCTTCTCGTTTGCTGACACAGCCGGGGACCAGGGCCGGAAAGCAGAGAGCCGCTGGCGGGGATGGACACAGCCAATGCTCTGGGAAGAGGGGGAAAGGAAAATCAGTGAATATGAACAATCTCTTGAACTCTAACCCACAATGGAGTGCTCGCCATGCTTGTCAGCACACTCTGTTAGCTCTACAGCTTCTCCCCACTGGCTAGGATCTGCTTAGTAGATCCACTGGAAGAGGTTATGTGCACTAGTGTGAAACCTGGCAGGTTTTTTCTCTGCCACTATGTTACATGTAGTTTGCAGGGACCACAAAAGGCTCCCGAGTCTTGCAGGATTCTTGGACCTCAAACACATGAAGGAATTGCCTCCTTCATGGTCACAATCAAGGTCAGCGAACACTTGACGATGGTGAGGAAACTGGGAGGACTGAATAGCAGAGTGTTCACTAGGAAAAGGGCAGAGAGATTATGAATTTAGAAAACCTGGGCAAGTTCTTGCTCTCCTGGTTTCTTTCAGTAGAGTGATGCTACGTGCTCATTTGATTTCTCTTGATTACAAGATATTCAGTAATCACCTTATTAGATGAGCTGGATAAGGACCGTAACCAACTGGACTGTTTTTCCTTCTCAGTGGAAGCTGGAGATTGGGAAGCAGAGTCATCTATTTTGGGCTTTTTGGAAGCAGAAGGATCTGAGGAGACCTGAAACAAAGACAGGCAGGAAAAATCAAAGTCAGAACTACTCATTTTGCAATCAGCTTAGAAGCAGGTTATAAGGCAAAAGCAAATTTTGTATTTAGAAGAAACACTGGGTTTTTTTTTCCCTGCTTTTTAAATATGAGGCCAAACAAAGGGGTGAAAACAAGGGACAGACACAAACAGTGACATAAGGTGGCTTCACTCCTTCATTTAAAGTACTCTGATACAAAGTGTGGATGGTGCAGCAGTGATGGGCAGTCAGATAAGTGAGACATTCACACCGTGCTGCACAGAACCATCAGCCTTCTCTCATTTCTGTATGCAGAAAGGTGAGGTTTAATGTGGCTGCTGAGCTGGAAAGATTATTTTAAACAGAACAGAGCAGACTTTGTTATTCTGTTTGCAGTGGTTGTTATGCTGATGACTTCACTACCCTGCAGCTGCAGTGGATTCTGGGGGTGCTGCCAAGAGCTGCTTTGCCTTTTCCACAAGTGGCTCAGCCTGGCCCATAAATCATCCTCAAGCATAAGAAAGCCCTTTGGCAAACAACCCCCTTCCTTCAACACTGCAAAGGAATAAAATTCCTATAGTCCCAGCGTGGCTTGCAAAAAAATTGGTAACTACTGGTTTAACTGGTGCGCTGGGGATACCAGCGTGAAGCCCTGCCAGGACAAACATGGGGAGGGAGAAGGTTCTGGACCTTACACTGCCTCATGACTAGAAATAATAAGAGAAACATCCACCTCTGTTCACAGCCGTTTTCTTTCTTCTCTTCCTTTTTGCATTTCCAAACTCTACCTTCCTGCTACTCGGAAGCGCTCGTGTTTGCATTAAACTTTTTCATCCTTACACCTCTCTGTGATTTTTGAGGGCAAACAAGTATTTATCCAGGTGGGTCTGTAAAACCCAGGCATGCCAACATTCTGAGAGCCTGATACGCTTCAAATCCAGGTCTCTTTGCCAGTGAAAGAAAGGATTTTATTTGCCAGTGTCTTGTGTCTGAATGTCAGTCCCCATCAAGGCATCTTAAACTGGGAATTTAAGAGATTGCTTCTCCAAATGACTATTCACTCCTAAAAATTACAGCCTAAGTGACCTTACCTGGAGAGTGCATGAGGGACTGGAAGCAGAACGGTTCCAGCGCACTTCTCCAGACTCCCCACGGAATTCCAGCAGACCCAACAGCTGTGTAAGCAGAGCAGTGCCATCCCTTCTGCACACCTCCGTTAGGAGAAATCACAGCCTCAAGTCCATGAGCAGCTGGCTGCTTCCAGGGACGCAGTGTGGAGCTACGGCTGGAGCCGGTGACTATCCCACTAAACCCAGTTCACCCAACAGCACCCACCGCTCTCCCCACTCCTGCAGCCCCATCACCAAGTGGGGAAGTTTTACTACAACATCCCCTGGCACTCTGGAGCTTTCCACAGGCAGCAAATGAAGAATGACATGGGTGTGTAGATGTGCAGCCCCATGTACAAAATTAGCCCGAGCCAATGCCAAACGCCAGCTTCAATGGATTTGCAGAGGATTCTTTCAGCACAGCTTCAGGCTCCCCTAGGGCTGGCTTTGGAAGGGGCTATGGCACAGTTCCTCAGAAAATGCATTTCTAGACTCTTTTAGAAGGACAATGCATTGGAAAAGATTTGTTTTTGCTTTCAGAGATGCTGTCTGTGCAGAATTAGTGACAGCATTCGAAAGGTATTTGGCAAGTGACTACTGATCCCAACCCTCTCCACTGGGGATGTGAGCTGTGTGGGGAGGGGGCCGGGAGGAGGGTGGGGAAGAAGGGGGGCTTGGAATGGAAAAGGCAACAGGTGGCAAGACTCAGCACAGAAACGCTGTCCCGTGAGTGGCAGCGCCGGGACACGGCCCTGGGCAAGGGGGGAACAGCAGTGCCCGGTCACAGGCAGGCTCCAGGGGAGCAATGCCATAGGGGAGTCCCATTGCGTCCTTAAATAAATCAGGGCCCAGCTTTCCCCACTGTCCCCCCTTCTCTCACTTTAAATCAAGGCTGGCAGCAACCATCAGGAGGCTCTGAGCACAAAACACTTCAGGAGACCTGGGGAGTGATGCTTAACCTTCTGCGTAAGGAGCCAGTATTGATCTGGGAACGTGAGCTGCTGCTGGGAAAAAAAGCAGTGAACAAGGTGTGTGCATGGGGGAACGATGGGTTTGCTTCCCCACAATGAGATGGAAATAGGGTGGAAAAGGGGAGGGAAAAGTGAGGTGTGCAGATTGTTCTAATTTCAAGCCATCTCCCGCAGGAGGACTCTGTTCCTCACAGACCAGTGCTGCCTGAAGGGATGAAGCACTTCAGCTGTGCTCCGGAAAGGAGTCCTGCCAACAGCATTTCTGAACTGCTGTGATGGCCACTGCTGGTTTTCCTTCCATCCGTCCCATTTTGTTTACACACATCATATCCTGGTTGTTCTGGTTTTAAAGCCTGTCCCAGTACAGGTATTTAGGTTCTATTTTAACAATGTAAGAACATAACAGTTCTAGAAGTGTCCCACCAGGTCTAGGAAACAGAGGCACTACATGTTGCTGTTAGTCAAGAAATGGAGGTTCATCTCCAAAACTCATGGAACAGGAGGCTCCTGACCACAGCCTGTAATCATTTGGTTAAATATTTGTTCTTCTATATTTCTACCTGTCTGGATACGTCACTGAAAACACTTTTGCCCCCTCCCTCTGCAGGAATACTGTGGCTGTCAAGAACTAAACAAAAAATCCCCCCATACATATCCAAAGTAGGTCTCTTGCTTAGTGCAGCCTTCCAACACTGGAAAAGGCAGAAGCTGATCTGCTCCCAACTATAGGAAGACACTTAGATGCAGAACAAGACTAGATACTGAACACAAAATCTTCTCTTCACATGACTCATGGATTACATCCCACTCTAGGACAGATTCCAGGTAACAGCATACCCCACTCTGACACTTCCAACCCAGCCACAGCAGCCAGCAAACCCTGGTATTGGCTCAAATCTGGTGAGTTTATTTCATTTCCTCTCTTTGCCAAATAATGAAACACCCGAAGTTGCAAAAGAAAGACTGAAAATCTGATGTAACTTTTTTGCCATCCACAGAAGTGACTTACGAAGAACTGGAGCCCAACCCCTGGAAGACTGGAATAAATATTTCTTCATTTCCTATTAATTTTTCCTTCCATTAAAGGCAACTTAATAATTTGTTGTCAAATGGGCTTTACACTGGGCAAAGCGTAAAGACACTTTGTTAATACACATCTGCTCCAGTCCACAGATGTAAAAAGCTTCATGATACAAAGTGGGCCCAGAGATGCACGTACTAAAGCTTTTGGACTCTTGTTTTCTGAAACTGTTGATTTTTGAGGAAAAACAGATACAGAGAGATTTATAAAGTTACTAAGAAAAGATTTCAGAAGTACACCCCAAAGGGAAATCTGGGCATGTGATCTTGCAGTCAGCCATTTTAAGGCAAACTGAAATCAAGAGGCCCAACTTGGCCTTTAGCCAACCAGAGCCATATCTGACATGTCAGAGCAAATTTTCCACTTCAATTACGTGTCACAGTCACCAACTATGAGACCAGGAGAAGGAATTTCTGACCCTCTCCTCAAGAAGACAAGTGCTCCTTCCCCACTGCTCCACATTGTCCACAGGTAGCAGCACACCAGGGCAGCCTGAATCCTGCTCGTTGCTGTGACATAGAATGGAAAATGAGCCCAGAAGAGAGTCTTGAATGTTAAGATTAGGGAGTGCTCATGGACATAATTCTTACAACCTTGGAAATGTGGATGCCATCCCAGCAGCAATCACAGCATCCTATGCGGTGGCATCTTTAGAAATTAAAGATTTAATGTCCCCAAAAGCTATCAGGCTATCTCAACACACAGAAATGTGTATTTCAGTCTCTTAAAAGATTAATTGGGAAAATACCGTGAGGCTTAAGAATTCAATTTCATATTCCTAATTCAGGCATAAATCACATCTCCATTGAAAACTCCACAGTTAGAAAAGCATGTACAGCCAGAGCAGGCAAAATTAACAGGAAAGAGCTGTAAATCTATAAATACCATAGTCTCATTTGTTCAAGCCATTGCTCCTGCTGCTGGTCCATGCAGAGCTGAGAGCAGTTACACCCTAAGGAAGGGAGGGGCTTCCTGTCTCAGCTGATACTCCTCTGGGTGTGAAAATTAAGCTGCTTTCTCATTAGAGGCACAAACCACAAGACCAGACGCCAGTCTGATATAAGCAAGGAGAAACCCCAGAGAGAGACTACTTGGGTTCAAAACGTGTCAGACATCAGGAGATAAATACACACTGAAACAGCAAAAGGCTGACAGTGAGCACATCATACAGCTCACATCAACTGTGCTGCAGCGGGACCAAACCACTGTCTCCACTAGGCTGCTACTTACCTGGAAAAGGCTCCAGGGAGACCTTGTAACAGTCTTCCAGTGCCTAAAGGGGCTCCAGGAAATCTGGAGAGGGGCTTTGGACAAGGGCCTGTAGGGACAGGCCAAGGGGAATGGCTTTAACCTGTCAGAGGGGAGACTGAGATGAGCTCTTGGGCAGAAGCTCTTCCCTGGGAGGGTGCTGAGGCGCTGGCACAGGGTGCCCAGAGAAGCTGTGGCTGCCCCATCCCTGGCAGTGTTCAAGGCCAGGTTGGACACAGGGGCTTGGAGCAACCTGCTCTAGCGGAAGGTGTCCCTGCCCGTGGCAGGGGATTGGGACTGGAGGAGCTTTAAGGTCCCTTCCAACCCAAAGCAGTCTGGGATTCTATGATTGATTCTATAGGTATTTAATACATTTTTCCTGTTAAAATCTGTCATCTGACCATCTCAGCTCACATTTACTCATTTACTCCAAGGGGATCTGGAAGGTAGCGGACACCTAAACCAGCAATTGTCCTACAGAGAGGGGCAAAGGTGCAAGACCCAACAAGCGATGAACAACATCTGCACCACAGGCCATGGAGACACTGAGACCAGCCAAACGCCTGTTCTCAATGAAACTTCCC